TCGTTTAATGGAGTTGTCTAGATAAAAGCTCAAATAAGTGTTTGTTAATTATACTAATTAACAAATGGTTGCATGGTCGCATGAAACTATATGAGCTATGTAAAACCTAGTTAAAATCTGAAGTTACCATGTGCATGCAGTAAGCACATAGCAAATAAGGTAGTTTCCTCAAGGGACAATTCTTGTTGCCTCAATTATCTGAGGCATTTCTGTGAGCATTCAAGATACCAGATGCAGCACCTTTTGGTAAGGAAGAAGGGGAGGGAGGAATGCTATACCTCTATAGGGTTTTTTCTTCTCCACTCTTAGCAACATACAACTAAGAAATTTTATAGCCAGTACAAAAAGGAGACACTGTATTCTACTACTCCCCAAGAATCTACTGGCAGTTCTCCCAAATGTATGAGGAAAGCCAACAGAAGTTTAAGATTTCATCTTGATTATATGCTCTATTTTACTTTATACAGAAATTTATTTGCCCAACATGTCATCAATGGAATTTATTTCAATAATCCTGGAATTCATATTTCAGATCAAAAGTTATTTCCTTAGATAGACCTTCCCCGAATTCCTTGACTAGGTCAAATTCTAATATCCTTTCCCAGAACCATCAGACTTTTACTTTTTTTTTTTTTTGACAACTGGATTAAACTATCAGATTCCCCTGGAACTCTAGACCTCAAGCACCATGAGGACAGAACTACATCTGTTTTTTTCTCCCCTCTGTGTTCCCAGGGCCTGATGTAGAGCCTTACAAATAGTAGTTACTGATAATGACAGAGACCTGATCGGTAAATGATTACAGAAGCCACTTTTCCTAATGGCATTTGCTGAGTTCAACAAATTCCATCTTACGTATTGGTGGCTTTGAAAGGTGACAGGAGCCGGGCTCGGTGGCTCAGCCTGTAATCCCACGCCTTTGGGAGGCTGAGGTGAGTGGACTGCCTGAGCCCGCGGGTTTGAGACCTGCCTGGGCAACTTGGTGAGACCTCATCTCTACAATAAATCAAAAAATTAGCCGGACGTAGTAGCGTGCGCCTGTAGTTCCAGCTACTTGGAAGACTGAGGCGGAAGGATCGCCAGAGCCCAGCAAGTCGAGGCTGTGGTGGCCGGGAGCGGCCACTGCACTCCAGTCTGGGTGACAGAGTGAGACTCCAACTCAAAAAAAAAAAAAAAAAGAAAGGTAACAGGAATAGAAATCACCTCATACAAAGTGGGAAGTTTAACAAGGCATGATCCTTAATATAAAGAGAAATCAGCTGGGCTCCGTGACTCAGCCTGTAATCCCGCACCTTGGGAGGCTGAGGTGAGTGAATTGCCTGAGCCCCTGGGTTCGGACCCGCCTGGGCAACTTGGCGAGCCCTCATCTCTACAGTAAAAATAAAAAAATTAGCCAGGCATGGTAGCGCATGCCTGTAGTTCCAGCTACTTGGAAGGCTGAGGCGGAAGGATTGCGGAGCCCAGCAGGTCGAGGCTGCAGTGGCCGGGAGCGGCCACTGCACTCTAGTCTGGGCAACAGAATGAGACTCCAACTCAAAAAAATAAATAAATAAATAAAGAGAAATCTAATGGCTATACAATGAGAATGAATCAAAAATGAATCAATTCTTATGAGGAATTTAAGTTTGGGATTAACCTAGGTATCCTAGAGAACTTCAAGCCATGACCTTGATTTACTTAACCAGTATAGTGGTAAACCAAGCACTTTGGCAGAAGCAAAAAAGTAAGTTCTTGTATTATTTAGACAAATAATTTTTCAAGTATCACGACCAGCACACAGTCATATAAGGCTCATGAAGAAATATAACACTATGAGTGCAAACCAGTAGCAATAGCAGATTTTTTTTTAAGGACTTAACTTTTTTTTTTTTTTTTAGTTTATTAGTAGGCTTTGAAATTAGGAAATACACCTCTATACGTCTTCATGATAGGAATTAGAAATATATTTGAAGCCAAAGGACAATGAAAATATTACATATAAAAACTTATGTTAAATGGCACAGCCACTACAAAAACAGGTTGGCAGTTCCTCAAAAAGCTAAACAGCAAGAATTACCATATGATTCAGCAATTTCTCTGCTAGGTATATATCCAAGAGAAGAGAAAACATCTTCACACAAATGTTCACAGCAGCATTATTCACAATAGCCAAAAAATCAAACGTCCATCAACTGATGAATGGATTTTAAAACTTGGTGTAGCCATATAATGGGTATTATTCAACCACAAAAAGGAATTAAATACTGACACATACTACAACATGAATGAACCTCAAAAACTTTATGCTAAGTGAAAGACGTCAGACACAAAAAGCTGCATATTATATATTTCCATTTATATAAAATATCCAAAGTAAGAAAATTCATGGAGAGAGACAGTAAATTGCCAGGAACTTGGAGGAGGGGAAATAGGGAATAGCTGCTAATGGGTATATGAGGTGTGTTTTGTGGTGATGAAAATGTTCTAGAATTAAATAGTGGTGATGGCCATGTAACCTTGCGAATAAACTAAACAAATCACTGATTTATACACCTTAAAAAGGTAATTTTTATGGTATGCGAATTATATCTCAATTTAAAAAACATTATGGGATACAACTATGTAAAAGAAAATTCATAGCCTTAAATGCACATGTTAAAATATTCTTATTAGTTTGCCAGTAAGACTATTCTCTAGTTTACTTAATATTCTTACTAGTAAGAATTCTATACTAATCTTACTAGGAAAGATATACTTGAAAATATCTGCAAGAAACATTAGTCTATGAAACTACAGCAAATTTAAAAATAACTGGGTAGAATTCTAGAAATGAAAAAAAAAGAAATAACCTAATTTAAACCTTATGGGATGATTTAATAACAGATAAGATGCAGCTGAAGAGAGAATTGGTTAACTGGAAGGTAAGCTGGACAATTACCCTTACACAGGTAATAAATGTGTTCACCATTAAGTGTGATAAAGCATCATAATATCTGTAACTTATTTTCAAATGACTCAACAAAACATGTGTTGCTTTGTCTATCTATCTACATAATATGTATGTAGATATAAAAATGTTTAACAACATAAGGAGATAAACATGGCAAAATGTTAACATAAAGGGCATATGGATATTCAATGTACAACTGCATACTCTTGCTTTCCAAGCACCGTGTGCTCTTATTTTGTTCCTATCTCAGTGGTAGCTTTTTCTCAGCCTCCTTCATAGGGTCTTCAACTTTTTCCTGATCTCTTTGTTATAATGGCCCAGGGATCAGGCCTCCAACTTCTCTCCACTATCATACTCACTCCCTTGATGCTTTCATTCAGTCTCATAGCTTTAAATAATAGCCAAATACTAACTATCTACCTCCATTCCAATTTAGATCTCTCTCTTAAACTCAACTCTCATATCCAGGTGCTTACTTGACATCTCCACTAGGTTATCTAATAGACATCTGAAATTTAACATGCCCCAAAATGAACACCTCAAAATTTTCTCTACTTGCAACCTTCCTCATCAGTTGATGTCAACTTCATCTTGAATTTCAGTTCAATACCTTGGATTCATCCTTGACTCCTCTCTTTCTTTCATATATTTTATCCAATTCACTAGTGAATCCCTTAACTAACCACTTCTCACCAATCTTTGCAATACCCATTCTGTTTTGAGTCACCAACAGCTCTTATCTAGATTCCTGCAACAACAGGCTTCTAATTGGCTTACCTGCTTCCCCTCAGGTCCCTGAACAACTTCCCCTGCCAAAGCCAGAGTGACCTTTCAGAATCTAAGTCATACAATGTCATTTTATACCCCAGACCTCTGCTATAATTTTTATTTCACAGAAGAGAAGACAAAATCTCTAACAATGGTCTTTAAGAACCTATATCATCTTTCGCCTTTGCTCCATGATCTCAGTCTCCCTCTGTCTACTCCCCACTTCACTCACATCACGACTAGCCTTCTTGCCATTCTTCAACATGCCACACTTGCTCTGACTTTAGGGTCTTTGCACTGACACTTCCTGCTATCTCCTAACCCAGTTTGCATGATGTTTGTTACAGTTTGTCTGGCAGCAGAACTCATGCATTAGTTGTTCTATATGTCTTCAAAATATTTAGGCTTATTTTAGTCTTTAGTTGGTAACTGTTGAAATTGAGTGATGGGAGCATACAGCCCATTATATTATTCTCTCAAACAAATATAAAACAAATAAAAGCTTCTGTGATGATTCTAATGTGCAGTAAGGTTGGGAATCACTGGTCTACAATCCTTAAATTAGATAATTTTGCCCATAAATAATTGAGACATTTCTATTTGAAAAGTTGTCATAATGAATTAAAAAGATGAAATGATAAAACATGATGAAAAATATCAAATTTATTTTCTGAAATAAAAGAAAAAAAAAGCATGCACTTGAATTCACTTTGCAATATACACTAACAATAAAAACAATGTCCCATGTTTTACTTGTTTCATCTTAACTCCCAACACTGTGGCATCTGACAGAAAGAAAGAAAGATTTCTGGCCCTTGGTTTGCCCAACCTAAAATTTGCAAGAGACCATGTAAAACATACTTCTAACTCAATTCTCCAAACTCAATTCTGCAGAGGCTTACTAACAAGCTACATACGGTTGAAAATTAAGGACTGCTTACTGCTAACTTATCCAAAAGTTCTTGAATAGTTGTTTGCATTTCAAGGTCTTACCACAACTTTCACTAATGCTTAACCCATTTTGATGTAAAAATACAGAGCAAGGAAGAATGAGAGTCTTTTCAGTTTCAAGTGAACTAATGTCTAAATTGGTAATTATCAAAGGTGACATCTTTCTCTTTTAAAAAAATAAATTGCCCAAATAAAATTATTGATTTGAAAGACACTTGTTAATAAACCTGACGAGGAAAAATTAAACTTACCTGTCTGGTTTTCCCATAGTAATGCAAATCTATAAAATATTAACTTATATCTTTGGGAAATTGAACCATATGAGTTCTATCAAAAATGGAGATTGAGATGATTAGATTTGATCTGAGCTCCCCTCAGAAGACTGGGGAACCTGCAAAGATTGGCTCACTTGTGGACTATTCCCACTCATGCTTACCAGATGATTATTGATGACATTAAGTTCCTGTATCACAGTGCTCAAATCTTCATGCAATCTAACTATTGCACTTTTTACCTCCCCTAGAAGAACTTTAATAGAATTGTTTGCTTCAGGTTCCCTACTCTGAAAACTAGAACAGGACAGAGGGGTGAGGCAGTCTATATTTTGAGTGGAAAACTCTATGCCATTACTGCTAGAAATATGACTTGTGGTCTTTTTAGCAGAATCAGAGTTATCTGGAAGAATTTTCAGTATATTGAGGTTGTCATTTTCCTCTTCATAAGAAGACACTGGGCCCCTAGGAACAAAGGAGTGATGAGCCTTGGTTGTCTTATCTCTAACTTTAAAGGAGGCAGAAGACAACTGTTGCTGTGACAAAGTCCAGAAGGAAGGTTCAGCCAGAATCGGAGGTAAGAGGTGAACTGATTTCTTTGGAGAGGCTAAATCAGGAGATGACATGGATAAAGTAGAAAAGGAAGATGCTCCTTCAGAGGCAGTTGAAACTGAAATGTATAAATGAGAGAGAATGCTTTATGCAACATACAAATGAGAGTAATAGCTAAAATAATTTTATAATATAAAAGCCTATCTGGAAGGTCTCAACATAAATAAACTACTTAGAATTTTAAATATTCATAATAAGACTAAAAAAAAACCCAAAGCAGGAAACTGAGAAAAATCTACAGATGTATTACATATCAATAATACCATGGAAATGAAACTAAAATAGAATGATCAATATTCATCTTGACTCCCAAACCCTGCCCAACATTATTTTTACACTAAACTTAATCAGAGAGCAAAGAAGTATTAAGCCCCATTCTATACCCTGCCAGCATTTTAAGTTGGTATTAAAGTAGAAAGTCTGAGAAACCTGTAACAAATTCCTTCATCTTTTTTATGTTTATTCCTGCAGAGATTATTATGGCAAAATGAACTACCAACTACAAGTACCCAGAAGTTAGTGAAATTAATATTTTTCTCTCTATGGCCAAATATAATCAAGACTGAAGTCCAACCCATCTGAGATCCAGAATACTTTAGTCCACGTATATAATCATTTTTCCCATCAAGAAACTCAAAATAAAAAGCATTCTAAACCAATTCTCTGTAAAATTAAAGATTTGATGAAATTTTTACTTCCTTTTAGGCAAAATCATATTAAATCTCTTCTCTCACATTTAGAAAGATTTCTCATTCTAAATCACTATTTCCCAAACTGTTCTGACAAACACTGTTCCTTAAGATGTTTTGTGAAGACAAGGGTTCACAGTCAAATAAAATTGGGCAACAGCATATTGTGCCTCCCAATAGGAGATTAAACAATGTCCATTAGCACATTTAAAGTTCTCAAATATCCAGTAATGTATTCAAGTGCTCTCCAAACTTTCTTAAACACAGAACTTCTTTTTTCCTCCTTGGAATATCTATTTACATTCACTTATAATACATGATACAAAGTGGTAAAATCCAGTTCTAAAGTCTTTGCAAATAACTCTGAAGTTGCTTCTGTATTAAAAAAAAGGGAAAAAAAAAACTTATTCTTTGTAAGTCATAGAACAGGGAAATTGATTACCACTTAGCATATATAATCTATCTTTCTACATTATTTTATTTTGCTTTACTTATTCATGTCCCTTCTAAACAAACTGAACCTCCTATAAAACTATGACCAGGGCAGGAGGCTTCTCTCTATTTTTTGCTTCAAAACTCTCCATGGCCTATCTCTCGTTCTCAAGGAATATCCCAGTCGCAGAACTTTCAGGGGAATAAATGGATATTCTCAGCTGATGCAGCAGCAGGACATGAAAAGGAAAGGAGAAACTCCATCAGCACATGGTCAAGACAAGCCAAGAAAATTTAGGAATCTAGGCCGGGGTAATCCAGACATCCTATTCTTGAATTAAAAAGATGGAACGAGCCGGGCTCGGTGGCTCAGCCTGTAATCCCGCGCCTTTGGGAGGCTGAGGTGAGTGGATTGCCTGAGCCCGCGGGTTCGAGACCCGCCTGGGCAGTGAGAC